ATACCGCTTCAGATCACGTACGCGCCAGTCTCTAATCTTCAGTTTCAGTCTTCGACGTTTGCTGAAGGATCTTTGGTGTGAGTGTTGTTTTCTTGATCATTGTCTCTGAATGATTTACAAAGCGAGTTCTTCAGCGATCACTGAACATGCTCAGTGTATTGATCGCTGGAACTGAAAATACAGAAACTAAAATACATCAAAAGGAAAAAGGGATTATCATCAAATCACTGAGAGAGAGGATCAACAAATATACTGGTTTCGATATCATATAGTCACAATACATCCTACAATGATGGGGGAGAACCGGTTTACCATGGATAATGATGGAACACAAAAGTAAGTCATATATCTATATTAGAAAGCATCACTACGGATCAATGCTCATTTAGTTCAACTACTTCAGGTTTATTGTTTAATGAGAAATCAATTTCAACCACTACATGCCTATAGCTTAAGATCTCCAAGGGTCCTAGTTAAGCTCGTTCACTAGACATTACATTATATTGCTCAATGGACGATGCCCGACTCTAAGTGTCACACCATTTTGCCTATGAAGACCTAATTCCTATTTCAAGTTATAATGAGGGAATATCATCACGGTCATACCAATAAAACTGATTCATATGTCTATGGATCCTTTAGATTACAGTATCTTACACTAATGATTCTGGATATGTCAAACCATATCCAACACATAAACATTTGTATAATAAGTTGTCAAGCGGATAAAATCCTTATTTTATCAAAAAACCTAATGGGTGAAGACTAATTTTTGGTTTTGGTTCCAAAATTGCAACTTTAAAACAACCGATGTTGTAACATAAAAAACCATTTCCCACACTTGGTTTATCAAAAAGGTACAAAGTCCTCTCCCGATTCGACCTAAATGATCCAAAATCATCAAAAACATAAAATATATAAATCTTTCCCACACTTTTGGTTTATCAAAAAGTTACAATGTCCCTAAATCTCCCAATGTTTGACCTAAATGGTCCAAAATCATCATAAACATAAAAATTTATGAAATGGAAGCTTGAGAGACTAAAATATAACATTTTGAATGTATATATAACTTTACAGAAGTGTAGAATGAACTTACATTGCTAAGTTTTAGCCAAATCTAGAAATCAAGAAAAACCCTAGATTTGAGGAGAAGTTCTTGAAGTCAAATCCTCCAAAATGAAGTCTTCACTATAGCAATCTTTAAAACTTGAGACGCCATGAGCCTAGCCTTTAATGGCTATCGAACTGAAATTATTGAAGAGAGATAAAGAGAAAGAAAGAGAGAGAACGGAATGAGGGAAATGGGAAGAAAATTGAGCAGATGAGGAGTCTAGGTCTTAGGCACACACATAGGTTATGGCTTGACCTAAGGTATGGAGAAAGTCTTCCGGTCCTTTATGGCACGCGCACACATATGCGAGCAACTTTTTTTTATGGTTAAATTTGTGTGGAAAGTTGTGTTATCCAATGTTTCTCCTCTTCTCTGAGCTGTACTAATAGTTTATCCAAATAGAAACTCGTGCGATCGAAATTGCATCTTTTGCACATTTGATTTTACAAAAATCTCGAGAAATACATAAATTTTGGGTTTTTAGATACTTTGATGATGAATCATAAAATGTGCGGGTTTTAATGATGTATCCCTCATATAGGGATTATTTTGATGCTAGTTCACATTTTGGTATATTGATTTTATAAATCATTTTAAATACACATGATTGAGTTTTATTGGATTTGGTGGTATTTTGGGTCATTAGATTTATCAAACTCTTTTAAGTTCACTTTCGGGTTTATGAAGACTCATTTAAAACTAGTTAAACAAGGGGAAGAGCTTATTGGCTTGGATTTGAGATCAATGCATGTTTTGGGATTTTTCCCGACCTTTAAGTTAGTAATGATGAGTTTGCCTAAACGTTGAACATTTGTAACTAATTGGTTTACGTTGACTTTTATTGTATAGTCAAGTGAGTTGTGGAGTAAACTTGTTTGATTTTAACTCGAACGGGTTTTGGGGACATTTGTCTGGTTTAAATTTCTCTATGTTGAGCTTTGAACTTGATATGCATTTATGACATATTTATTTCAAATTATATGTTTTGAGTGTGTTGGTCATTCAGTTGGAGTCATGTAATTTAGAATGTAATGCAATGGATCCATACGCATAGGAGTCTGTTTTATTTGTTTTAAATGGGATGTACAGTCCAGTTTAATAGCTTAAAATAGGCATTATGTCTTCATAGGCAATATGGTGCAAGCTCTTAGAGTCGGGGATCAGTTATTGACCAACATAATATAATTTCAAGTGAATGAGCTTAACTATGATCTTTGGGGATCTCAAACTATAGACTTAGAGTGGTTGAACATGATGACTCATTAAACTATAGATCTGGGTGGTTGAACTTAATGACATTGATCCATAGTGATGCTCATTAACATAGATATGTGGCTTACTTTTGTGTTCGGTMACATTCAGCGAAATCACCCGTCACCGAATATATTATGGGTGGTTGAACTTAATGACATTGATCCATAGTGATGCTTATTAACATAGATATGTAGCTTACTTTGTGTTTTTACACATTGAATGGAATTAGGTCTCCCCCGTCACCGAAATGTGTGTTTTGGATATGATATTTTATTCATTTTTTGATGTTGTATTGGGTATGAAATGTACCCATGATTTGATGTTTCAGATGTTGTATATTATTCATATTTTGTTGCTTTGGATCCTTGAGTTTTATTCATGTTTTTGGTATCTGAGGTACCAAGCTTTATTCAAGTTTTTTGTGAGTACTGGCTTCTGGTTTCATAACAAAATGGGTGTTTGGGTTATTGAGTTGTCATCACGAAATGGGTTTCGAAAATATGTTTGTTTTTATGGTAAAGACGTTGCATTTTAGAAATGTTGAGTTCAATAAGCAGTTTTTTAGTTTTATTGTTTTATAGTTATGATGAAAATGTTTCACTCACAATCCATTAAGCTTAACACTTTTTCTTGTTGGCATATGCATCAGGTCCTTATTCGGGAATGGTACTAGTGACACTGTGAAGAGTTGAGTGCTAGTTAAAGGCACAAGTAGGGGTATATAAAAAACCGTCAAACCGTGAAACCCGCCCAAACCAACCCGTTAACAACCCAACTAAACCTAATCTGCCAAACTTCCAAACCGCTAAACAACGAAACCACTAATTAGGAGGGTTGAAATTCGGTTAGCATAACTCAACCCAACCCAAACCGCCAACCAGCCGCTAATATATATTATTTTTATAAATTTTGTATATATATATATATATATATATATATAAATGATATTTACAAAATTATTATTTATAGCCCAAAAATATGCATATTTTTTAGTTACTTAGTTTTATGCATGATTGTTTTTTAAAATTTTATTATGCATGTTAATATGTTATCGTTTGTTGAGTTTATGTTTGTATTTTTTTTCTATGTATATAGGCTACCAAACTAGAATCACCACCAAAGAATAATTCTAAAGAATCTCAAAGGAAAAAAATTATAGAAATCATTTTGCAACAACAACAAATGGACGTGMCGGAAAACATGAACGGTGTTGATAGATATTTGGTTGATGGATCTATCAATCCAAAGACTCCATCATTTGATGTAGTACTTTGGTAGAAAGATAATACTAATAGGTATTGCATTTTGTCTATGATAGCTAGAGATGTTCTTGCTATACCTATATCTACCGTAGCATCTGAATCCGCATTTAGTATTAGCGGTCGTATTTTAGACTCATTTAGAAGTTTTTTGAATCCAAAAATGGTAGAGGCCCTTGTATGCACGAAAAGTTGGTTGAAAGGGAATAATGAGCGGATCCAAATAAGTGAATTTTGGATGAAATTTCATCTTATGACTTTCTTGAAGAAGATAAACTTAACAATGGTTCTTTTTTCATGCTTATATATTCTTAAAAAATGGTTTAAAATATTCTTTTTGAATTGTAGACAAACTCAAGGAAAATGCAACATCGGAGTCGGAAAGGTCCAAGATGGTTGTACTTGACTAAGGATTTGAATCCGATGCTATCATTTAAACTTTTGAAATTTGATTCCAATACTTGAGGATTTAGATAAATTTTTGGATGACTGTAATTACTAATGACTTTGATAGGTATATTTTCAGTACTCTTTATCATATTTCATTTGCCAACTTTATGAATTTTAGTAACTCGCCAACCCAACCCAACCCGCAAGGGTTGGGTTGGGTTATACTTTTGAATGGGCTGAGATTTTTCAAACCGTCATAATTGGGTTGGGTTGTAAAAATGTCAAAAATCGTCCAACTCAACCCACGTACACCCCCTAGGCACAAGAATGATTCAGTTATTTGGAGACGTCTTCCGTACTTTCGAGATAGCGATTGATACTATATTTTAGTATATAACACTTGTAAGTGTCGAGTCCGGCAAATAATACAATTTTATAATGTAATCTATTACCTCTCATACACAAGAATTGTGATAGCGATAAGTAAGGTCGTCTCCTCAAGGACTCAGTGTTAATCGTGAGTCCAAAACGATGTCACGTGCAAATATATTGAAAGCATTAAATACAGGGGGGTTGTGAGTTGAGAATTAAACTTAACATGCAAATAAAACAAGACAATTAATGATAAATAAACGAGTTCTACTGATTATTAATAAATGCCTGTTGGACCATGCATCATTGACTTGTACTTCACAGGGATTTTCTCAATATCATTCCAGAACAGTTATAAATGTTGACATGCACCAATACCTTGCTTATCCTTAAACTAGCTAGCTTCACTGACATGAGAAGCTCGACAAATAGCACCTAATTGGGTAGTCAAGTTTAGATACACACCTAAACTCAACTACCATCAGCATTAAAAACAGATAAGCATTATTCTTAGCCAACAATCAGATGGCGACTGTTTAGACTATATTGTACAAACTACAACACCAAATGATTAATATGATCTATCAACCAAGATGTCGCTTGTTACTTATCAAAGTAAGGAACAATTGTGGATTCTGTAACCTTGAATAACAAAATCAAAATCAAAATCAGATTAGAAAAAGTAAGGACACCTACTCAAATCAACAATCCAAAATTGACAAATCGAAATAAACAAATTTGCATAAATGGAAATAAAAAGATAATGAACTTTCAACAAGGTCAAAACCAACAGCAATTACATACCCGTCACTACAATTGAAGAAACTAGCTACTCATATCTCTAATTCGAAAATTTAGAAACTTACAAGATTAAACCCATAATTTGATACAAGAAATTGATAACGGATCCTCCAAAATCGCCGCCAAGTCTCCTTAATTGTGTCTCTGGTCGAATCCCCCCTCCATGACGGTTTCAAGAGGCTTTTAAATGATAAAATGAAGAAACTGCTCAAGAATTGAAATTTGGGGAAATCAGCTCACGGTCTGCGACCACGACCCTTGTATGCGACTCTAAGTGGCATGTCAAGGTAGCATTTTATGTAACATAAGTTCAAATCTCTTATGTGAGGCTTGCATGAGGCGCTCGTTTCCGACCTGACTTGTGACCCTAGGTGGCTTGTTAGGATATCATTTTATGTACCATAAGTTCTAAAGAGTTTCAGGTTCTTTTCCTTTATGCTACCATTGTAAGTAACCCTAGCATGGCAAGGTAGCATGTCAGGATCACGTAGACCTATGTTATGCTCTACTTAGGCTTGGAATCCATCGTCTTGGCATCTATAATCAAATAATCGAAATTAAGGAGGTCTATTAACTAATAAATCATCATTCAAGGAATTTGATATAAAAATAGGTTCAAATATGCATTTATTATCTAGACTTTGTGTTGGTTTGTTTTATATATTGCTTATGTTAAATTTTGATTTGTCATTATAGACAATCGAGTGTTGATCTTTAGAACGAATTTATTCTTTATTTGATGTATTAATTTTTTTTAAATAAATGAAGCAAATATTTATTAAACTCGAAAATAAGCAAACACCATTTTCCAGTCCCAACAGCCAAAAAGCACTCTCTAAGGGGTCGTTTACCTAAATGCTTACCTGGTAAGCGCTTACCCTTAGGAGTCAACATTGTAATTTATTTTACCGGATAAGATTGTAGTACATCAAAATGGTATTGTATGCAACAATTTACCTAGTAAGTGTTTACTCGGGTAAGAGTCGTCACCCTCACTTACCGACTTATCATTGCTCTTACCGGGTAAGATTTTTTACCGTTGTCATGTTCATCCGGTAAGGAAAATTACCCAGTAAGCACTTACCGAGTAAGCGTTTAGTAAACGGCCCATAAGTTCCAAAGCCCAGAATGGCGTGAGGCATGACATAGCGTGATAGCGAGTTCAAGATTAAGCCTTACACACCACGGCGAGGATGTTGTGTTTTTCAAGGCGTGGCATAAGGCGGTAAATTTGTATGTCATAACATATTAATTCCATTTTTATTCTTAACGATATTAAAAAAAAATAGATTTTCGTTTTAACCATGAGTCTGTAATATTGCATGAATCCATGAAACTGTGAGTCATGTAATTATGTGGCTCTGTAACCGTGTACAATCTAAAGTTAAAAATGTAAAAACACAATAAGTTACAAAAAAAAAATAAGAAAATTAATTTTTTTAAGAAAAACTTGAATAAAATCACCGCCTTGAAAAAAAAAACGCGAGTCGTGGCGCTCCATGACACACGCTTTACACAAACGTTGTAAGGTTTATTGTAACGAAAGACGCATGTTACGTCATAATATATTATAGCACGCCTTTCTGAATACTGCTATGTTCCACAACAAAATTAGGTTCGGCAACCTTGTCAAAGTCGTAATTAGTGATGACATCGTCATAACCACTGATGACATCATAAATTTCCAAAATTATTGGTTTAGCAGCTTCATCCTTTTATAGATAGAAGAAAGATTCCAACATATTTAAAAGTTTAATAGTGTTTAACAGATATAGGATTCCAACACACCTCCTCAAATGGATGCTAGACATACCCCCTTGAGTAGAGGCTTGATCGAGTGTGTCGTACCTAATGTTCTAAAAGACATGCTATCGCAATCGTCGTTGTGAGCCATGGATCAGGGCTCGTCTTTGACGTCATGTTAAATTCTTGGCATGCAATGACCTGATGTGTGGTTTGTTATTTGACTTTTAATCTTTTTAGTGTTTAGCTTCTTAGTTTTTTAGTATATAACCGAATTTAAATTTTTCAATATCATTGATTAATTGAGTATTAGTAAAAAAAACATATATATATATATATATAGTGTGTGTGTGAGTGTGTGTGATGCACAGAGTTTTCATCACAAGTCAGTCACGTCTTAAAAAAACGTCGTCATGCCTCATAAGGCTTGATCTCACCACCACTCCATACTTCATACCGTTCAGAACCTTGGGGCCCTAGAGATGCTGAATACCTGCTCTGATACCATGTAAAGACATGTAAAACCCTTCTTAATGACAGTTGGAGTAGCAAATGGTAGAGAGTACCATCAAGATATCCACAAACATATGCTGCTACTTCAAGAACAAATGCACTCATTCAACCAAACATACTGTGATCATCAAGAACTATCTATATTCAAAAAATTTCATCACCCCAACAGCAATAAAACCCACAAACATGAACCTAAACTTCATCGCTTCATCGAAACGTGAACAGAGTTGACTCTGCATCTAACAGCTTACAAAATATAAACGTAAACGGAGTTGACTGAGCAAGAAACTAAAAATTGCAATCTTTAGTTCATCAAATCGCTGCAAAAGAAAACGATAGCAGTAATCTTGATAAAGATTTGGATCAAAAGATTTCGGGAAGTGCTATGATATTTTTCACAACTTTGGAGTAACATACAATTCATTTATCTTCACCCCATCCCCAATACACAAGATGGAAACGATCGACCAAAGGAACTTCTGTACAGATTGAAATCTCTACACGACACTAAGCACTCAAAAGAAGCTAAAAACGAACGATAAATGTGATATTTTAAATACATTACCAGAAAACTCGCTTGTAAACCGCAAGATCAAAACTCTGAACATCCAACCAGCTTCACAAACATCAAGTGGTCAACCAGTTGGGCTCTAATGTTATTGATTCGCCATTCTTGCAACTGAAAGTTCCTATTTTGTACGGTTTGATCCAGTTAGATAGACTTGAGATTGGATGACTGTTTTCCCAATTTTGAACCCGGGTACGACTGTAAACCCAACCTCTGATATGCCCTTATCATGGTATGCATCTTTTTTGGTTACATCTTCCATGTAAACCATCGAAAAGTCAACCCCTTTTTCCACCTGAAAGATCTCAACCGTTGGATGAAATGAACGAGCCAATTTATGAAGTAACCACATTGAGCTAGACATATTAACGAACGCCTCATAGAATACACTTAAAGACCTCCATGAATCCAAAACCTCCTTCTTTCTGTCCAAATTCTTGAATATTGAAGATTCCATTGTTGGATGGACAAGTTCTTCGTACTTTCTTTCACAAAATTTTGAGAAAGCACAACTAGGGTTCTTATTTAAAGTCTCCAATGGATTGACCAATACATGCTCAAATAATTCCATTGAATTATCATTAGAAGCTACATTCTCAGCCAAACCGAAATTTTCGGAATCAAAACCTTGAAACATACCTAAAGAGACGTATGACAAAAAGGCATAGCGATTATGCCCTTTTTTAACATACCCAACATCAGGATGAACATAATTAGCTGCTAAACCCAAATCCCACCCTGCTTTCTTCATCAACTGGATCAAAAGTTTTGTAAACCGATGTGAAGATCGACAAGCATCACGCAGCATTGAATCAAAAACCCTAATTGTCGGCAAAAACCCATTTGGGGGTTTCAAGTTTTTTGACAATTTCATTGACAACTTGGAATTACAGTCTTCAGTTTCCCCCAATTGCTTCTTTAACATCAAAACCTTATCATCTTTACCATCAATATCAGACTGTAGTCTATTAAACATGGTCTCCAAGGCTCTTAACTTGTTCTGATTCTCATTAACTTGAGCTTCCAAACAAGACCTAGTTGTAAAATCAAGATTAAAGTCTGGATTCTTTCGAGAATCTATATACAATCCCCTCAAATCATAAAGTTTCTGAAGTTGATTGACTAAAGCTTTATCATTAATCATAATCCCTTCTTCGTCAAACGGCACATGGGATGTTTGTAATTGAAGATAAGAAGCTTCAAACGATGAAATTACAGCGAAAACAGATGAAATTAGATAATTACCGAAGCGCGTATTGAAAGGTTGTATGATTGAAGCAGAAACAATTTGATTTTGACTTTTCAAGTCGGGTTTGATGATTATAACCTTCTGATCGGTGATGAAATCTTCGGTGGAGTCAAGAAGAGTGAACCCATCTTCGTTGTCGGAGACGGCGGCCGATACGGCGGCAGAATTAGCGGCGGATTCTTCTTCCTCGGCGAATAATTCAAACGTCTTAGCTTTGAATGCGATTGCAAATTTCTGAAACATTTCTGAGATTTGTGGGGGTTTTGAAGTTGCTGCTGCTCCCAGTTCCATTTTCGATCTCTCTCTTTTTCACATAATTATATCATGGAATCAACAAGAACTCACATATGGGAATGGGATTTATGTGTTTTAGCTTGAGCTGCTGGTGTGCTAGAGACAGAGAAAACGAGGAGAGAGAAGGGTTTCGCAATGGTGCCTTGGATGACTTAGAAGGAAGGTATGAGTGTATAGAGAGAGAGAGAGAGAGAGAGATACAGAAGGTCTTCTTTTCCATGGGAAATATGAAACCAATTTTATATTAATTTATAAAAATCATATATAAAAGTTCATAAAATACATTTTTACATTTAAAACTTTATAACAAAATATTACAAAGATAAAGAAAATTCAGACATTCACAGTAAAAATATTGAACACTGCAAAATAAGTTATCTTTATAAAATTTTATTGTAAAATTTTAAATATAAAAATATAATCTCACAAATCTTATAAAAATAGACCGGTCTCATAACTTTATATATTTTATATTTTTTAATAAATATTTTTTATTATATTTTAAATTTTGATTTTGATTTTTTTAAGATGATTTAAGGGGGTGTTTGGGTAAGCTTATTTAAAACAACTTATACTTTTTTGTAAAAGTGCTTATTAACTTATGCGGTATCAAACTGGAGTTTTGTAAAAAGTGTTTGGATTAGCTTATAGCGGTACCAAAATGCAAAATGACCAAAAAGGACAGCTCATTTTTAGGTTATATTTGAAACCCTAGAATCGTTGGAAGTTGGTTGAAGAAAAAGGGTTCATATTTGAAACCCTAGAATCGAAGGAAGAAGCAGGAAGAAGGAAGAAGCAGGAAGAAGGAAGAAGAAGGAAGAAGCAGGAAGCGAAGGAAGAAGCAGGAAGAAGGAAGAAGCAGGAAGCGAAGGAAGAAGCAGGAAGCGAAGGAAGAATCAGGTATATCTTCTACCCTATACCAAAATGCAAAGCGAAGGAAGAAGCAGGAAGCCGGCGATGAGAAACCAGAGGACTTGCCGGCGATGAGAGGGGAGAGACGGATGCGATGAGAGGAGAGACGGATGCGATGAGAGGGTTAAAAGGGTAATATGTCAAATAAGTCAAGAGGGAGTAACTTATCAAAAACAACTTATTACCGGTTTGGCACCGGTATAAGCAGTTTTTTTTTTTCACATCCAAACACTCAAAATAACTTATCGGCGGTTGTGGACTGAAATAAGTTGATAAGCACCTTAAATAAGCTTTCCCAAACACCCCCTAAAATGAAAAATATTATACATAAAATCAGGCAGATTTTATAATATTATGTATAAAAATAACAAGTTGTAATTTATTTAATTTGGGAAGAAAATTTATGTTTAAAAAAATAATAATAATCAGTTTATGTTTTTTATATTTATCCTTGACTTTTAGAAAATTAAATTTATAAGAGAAAATAATTGTTGTGGTTTGATTTGAATAAAGTTCAGTTATGACCCTTAGAGTTTTGGTATTGTTACATTGTAAATAAAATATAAGACTAAACTACAAATTTGGTCTCTGTGGTTTGCTGAGAATAATATTTTTGATCCCTACATTTTTTAAACTACAAAGTGGTCATTGTGGTTTACAAAACGTATGCATTTAGTTTCTCTCTTTAACGGTCATTAAAAAAATTCTGTTAAATGAGAGGTATTTTCGTTCTTTTATTGATTTTTTTTTTGTTGTTTACCTAATCAAAATCTATTTCATGATCCTGATCATGTGGTTTTTGATTATGTAAAAGACAAAAAAAAATTAATAAAAGAACAGAAATATCTCTTATTTAATGAAATTATTTGACAGCAGCTAAAGGAAGAGACCAAATACAAACGTTTTTGCAAACCATGAGGCCATCTTGTATATACAAAACTACATGGATGAGTCTCAAATACTCATCAATCAGATTTATTTAAGTTGAGTAATGGTCATAACCAGTCGAAAAATGATTGAATCAAACCAGATTTTAGGATTGATGTGAGCATTGATCAGGATCAGTGAAAGCAACTATTTTGTACAAATTAATGACGGATTTGAACCGATCAAAGGCAAATAACTATTAAACTTTGAAAATAAGTTCTTTTAACTTTTAAAAATACAACGACCAGAACCAGTTCAATCCACCTATTTCATACTAGAACCAGTTTCGTTTTCTATTTTTTTGAATCGGGCTTCCAAAGGACTTAGGTGCACCGGTTCTTGTTCATTCTATGTGTAAGGAACCATTAATGATGGATTTTATAATCGGAGGACTAATAATGTAAATATCATAAAAAATTGGGGTGTAAAGAAAATTAGTTTTAAAACTGTTTTTTTGACTTCTTTTATGTATGACTTCAATTTTAATATTGGTGGTGGAAATGTGATGAATTAAATAATGTCGGAAATTTAGGAAAGGAGACCGATCAACGGTAATAATTTGGGGAAATACTAAAACGACAGGAGTCCGCATTTTGAGCTCCCATCACGGACAACTCGCTTTCTTTCCTTTTATAAACCATACTAAATTTAATAAATAAAACAAAATTACATGTGACAACCCTAATGTATATTTTAAGGGTCGATATAACTTTTATGTGATTTTAAATAAATAATAATGTTTTTTTAATACAATATAAATTTAAAAATTTCATAAAAATTTAAAAATACATAAAAGTTTTTATTTTTTATGTAATTTTTTTAATTTAACTTTTTATTATAATTTAATTTAGGTTTAATAACGAAATAATTTATTTTTGATTTGATAATATAATTTTTTATAAAGATAATAACTAAGTATTATGTTAGAACTTAATAATTATTTTAATTATGTTTTAAATTATATATTTAAAATGAGAATTTTATCATATATTTGATTATATTTATCTACAGTTAGTTACACGAATTCAAACATTGAGCTTAATAAGTTGTACTTACACACAATTTACTTGTAATCTTCTTAAATTTTAAGTAATATACATCAATAAGCAGAACTTCATGTATAAAAGATTATTTTTAAGAGTTTTGGTCAAATGTTTTATAATATAATATATGTTTACATGTAATATTGAATTTTAAGTAATATACATCAATAAGCAGAACTTCATGTATAAAAGATTATTTTTAAGAGTTTTGGTCAAATGTTTTATAATATAATATATGTTTACATGTAATATTGAATTTTAAGTAATATACATCAATAAGCAGAATTTAATGTATAAAAGATGATTTTTAAGAGTTTTAGTCAAATGCTTTATAATATAGTATAGATAATACGATTTTAGGATTTTCATGATATTCTTAATTGTTTGAATTTTTATCGAACTTTAATTTCGGTGCAGTTTACTACTTTGAATTATTAAATTGTGTTTCAAAAGACACATCATCACACACACACATATGTATATCGAAGCTTCTTCTTTTGCAAATCATTCAAAAGTTACAAACCGAACAAATAAGGGTATTTATGTCTTTTTAACAAATTTATATTTTAAGAATAATCATATTGCTTAATATATCATAAAATATCATATTTAACTTATTTGTTATAAGACTAATCTCTTCCTTAAAAATCTCATTCTCGGTTGTCATAACTGATTTCATCACCCTTTCTCCAATAATATTCATTGTAACTGTTTGTTTCTCATATGAAACCAAACCAATTATTAGTTTTCATATGGAACAATAATTGTTTTTGTAACAGTAGTTCCATACCAATGTTGTTTCAGTTATGAAACAACATATTGACTTTTTAATATGAAACTTTTTGTTTCTCATATGAAACCAAACTAATTATTGGTTCGCATACGAAACAATAACATCTTTTGTTACCCATGTTTCATACCAGTGTTGTTTCACATGAAGTTTTTTTTTTACCAACAGACTTGAACTTAGTGTATTGATTAATATATATTAGTTTCATATTTTCAACAAAATACACATAAAATAAATACTTCATGAAACAAATACATGTTAACTAATATATTAAAAATAATCTTAAATAAAAAAAAATCATATGAAGAAATGAATTTCTTACTTTTTATGTATTTGTATAAACCATAAGCAATGATTATTAATAATTATTTTAAAGTTAAAATACTAAAAAACTAAAATTAAATTTATATCATAAAATTGAATATTAATAAATTGTAACCTCTTTCATTGTCTCTTTTCACATAAAATATTGCAATTAGGGATGTAGAAAAAAATATTTGAAAATTTAAATATTTGTACTTTGGAGAATTAAAAATACTTATATATTCCTTGTTGTCAAAGAATTTGTGCCTTTTTAACTCTTCAATTATAAGTCAAACATATATGTATCCTTTGAATTATTTTTTAGATTAAGTTAATTTATTATTTATTTGTTAATAATTAATAATATTGTTTTGTCAATCACTTTATTGTTGCTCTTGTTCAAACTTTGCAACTTCATTATTCGGTGTTAGGATGTTACTGAACACATCTACTCGATTTACTTCTTTCGGATGATCAGAGCCATAACGTTGCCCTTTCGCATAATTCCATTTTCTTGTTTCGACTGTTTTAAAGTAAACTAACACTCGATTTAGACATTGGTTCTCGTTTTGAGTATTTGGAAGACATTTGATGCTCGTATGGAGCTTTGCTCAACTTTTAAAGGTCTTTGCTTATTTAGATCGTTTAATCATCAATCAAGGATATCCATTCAAGTTTGAGTTTGAGCTTATCTTCTTTTTGGCATCAGCAAAGTATCCAATGGAGTTTATTATTATATTTGCTTTGAAGATGTTAAGTATCAAGGTAGAGTATTGTGACAATTCGTCATTTAGGGATTTCAGGTTAGTACCTTATTTTAGGATCTTTATTGAGAATTAAGTCTTTCTAGGTTTAGCTATGATGAATAGAGAACGTCTCGCTTAATTCCCAAGATTGGTTCGGAAGAACACGTTTCGGCGGGTAACTGACAAAGTTAACTTGTGCAATGCCAAATAGTCTTGAAATGCTCCAAATAAAATAAAGTTGATATTTTAAGTTTTGTATTTAAGAAATTAAAAATTTCCAAAGTCCCATTTTGTTGGCCAATTAATTTATTAAAGGGTGGAGTTTTAAAATCTTTTATTTAGTTGTTTTGTTTAAATAATTTATAGAGGGGTTTTATTATTTAGAAAAATAATAATTTATAGGGCTTGAGCCTTTAGAGGCCAGCTCATTTCTTCTTTAAAAG